ATCCAGTAAGCATGAGGCTATTTCATTGCTTCCTCTTCGACCTTCTATTTCACTCCACATGTAGCAGTGAGTCAGTTTTGTAGTGGAGTCATAGATTGTAAAATTTAATACATTCAACTGCCTGGAATAGTATATTTTTTTACATTTGAGATGAGGGGTAGGAAGACACTGCTGCAGGTCGAAAATGAGAACTCTCTTTGTCTTGTCCTTTTCAGCAGCTGCCTTAGCTTCACGTTTGAGCAGATATGCCTTGTCAGCCTTACGATTGTGAAGCTCCTTCGTGGACTCCAGTTTGGTTTTCTCCTCCCCAACAGCTGCAGCAATTTGGACCTTCAGAGTGTCACAGGTATCACAACCATCTGATTTTGGAGCATGGAACTTTTTCTTTGTTGACTTGAATAATTTTCTGTAGACATCATAGGAAACTTTAGGCAGATCTGAAGCCAAGTACAGCTCATGCATTTTTTGGACATTCAACTCAGGAGATAGATATAACCGTTGGGTCTGAGCCCTGCAATAATGTGATTCATATGCTGGGAAGGATTCAATATGATTGAGGACAGCGAGTCTTACTTCAGGTTTCAATGCATGCTTGGGTCTTTTTTTCCCTCTGGCATCATCTTTAGCAATTCCTGAGACTGATTTTTTTTTGTTTTCAGTTACATCTCGCACAAATCTGTCAGTTTCTCCTAGAGTTCCCAAAAAGGTTGACCTGCACACCCGAAGCCGTTTCCCATTAACATCAAAAAAGTATTTGAAATTTTGGTGTTTTTCACGAGAGTCTACAAAAGTCCTGGGTCTCTTTCTGGCAACTCCAAACCTTTCGGTACGTGCAACAACATATGCAACTCGCTTATTGTGGGAGCCCTGCTCCCAGTACTCCTTAAAGAGAGTGTCTGCAATGTCAGGAGTTATTTTCTCAAAGCAGTCATTCTGGCAGACCTCGTGAGGGGGTTTCCGTTTACTTTCACGGTCCTTGACAGTTTTCCCTTCATCTGTTTCGTATTCCTTCCCTAGGTTCCTGGCAATCTTCCTTTTGAGTTTTATAGCTGCTTTCTTCAATGCTGCAAATTGGAAAAAATTATACCTTATGAGTGCAAAACCAAGTATGTTTTATTTTCATTTCATAAGGCAAATGGTCTTACCTTTTTGAGATGCAGGAGTTTTTGGGGTCTTAGGGGTTTTCTGTGGACTGCAGTTTGGAGAGACACCATTTCTCTGTGGGCTTTCATTGGGAATGTGAATTGGAGAAACATTTTCAACAACATCAGGATTTCTTCCCGATTTAGGTGAAGAACCTGAACATAACAAAACAAATCCCAGAATAATTAAAAAATTAAAGAAGAACCTTATTATAGCTTAACACTCTAAAATTATCTATCTATTACCTTTTTCAGAACTCAAAGACCTGCTGCTACTGGAATCACTGTCAGAATTATCAAAATAACTTTCAGCTAAGCTGTGTGTTTCTGATCCTAGAAATAAATAAGCTATTGTAAAGAGACAATTTCATGTAAAAATAAATGCAGCTCTTTCTGAAATTGAAGTAAGTATTTAGATACCTTCAATGGAACAGGGTGAAGCAGATCTGCTAGAGCTGCAGCTACTACCACTTTCAGTATATTTTGGTGGTGCAGAGCTCTTTCTTTGAGATTTTCTGCTGATGACTGCCTTTCGGCTTCTCTTTTTCTTGGGAGACCCTGAGAATAATAGAAATATACATTCAATATGTGGTCTGCTGCTGACAAAAATGTAGTCCAGTAAAATGCTTCAATGTCTTAATTTTCATTTACCTTTGGAAGTGGCATTCTTTCTTTTGATTCCTTTGCTTAAAGGAGCAGCTGGTGGTGGTGCTGTAAAATAAAAAAAATATGGTAAATAAGAAACATAATGAAACGGTCTGATCAACAATTTAGTCTCTGTGAAGCCAGTCGTGAAGCTGAATAAGCCATCCCCTCATTTGTTTTTGAGAACTGAAGCAAGCTTCAGGCTGGTTTCAGCCAATATCAGATTACCCAAAACAAAGGGTGGCAGGGTGGCTTCAACTTCACTGGCTTTACCAAGACTAAATCGTTCAAAATGGGATCAGTTTTCTGTTACAGCACACTAACGTACCGGATTGTAAAAGTTCCTGTAATGCCGCTTCATTTTCTGCCATAGCCTTGCGTCGAGCTTCTTGATATTTTGACAAAAGGTTTTTCCGGGCACCAGGTTCCTCAGCTTTTTTGGAATCATTGATATTAAGACCTTTTCCATTTTTATTACAGGAAGAGAGAGGTCCAATTATCCCAATATCTAAAATAAAATAATGATGCTTAAGTATTCATTTAGTACACAAAAGAATTGATATACAGAGGTTTGCAGTTTTTACATTGTAGTCTCACTTATTACAGCTTAGTAACTTACCACTGTTGATGGAGTCTTGATCATCGTTATTTTGTTTGACTTTCTTCTCAGAACTATTATTAGACAGCGAGTGAGTTGGTCTCTTTCTAACAGCTGTATCAATAACTTTCACATTAGCATGAGTAGAAGCTTTTGAGTGAGAGGGTCCTGTAATCAAAATAGTATTCCAAGGGCATACAAAATAATAATACGGCAGTCTTAAAAGGTCCCTTAATACTCTAGTATCTAAGAATAGTACAATACCTGCTTCTTTTGGTGAGTTAGCTTTATTATCAGCCTGAGAGTGAGAAATTTCATTGTTTTGATGCTTGATGTTCTGAATATTTTCCTTTCCGCTTCTACTTAATACTTCACTACTTTTAAATAGATTGCGTCTGACAGCAGGTTTAGTTGAACCTTTGTTGGCAGTGTCAGATAGGGGTTCAATACCAGCAACTAAAAAAAGGAAAACAAGTAGCAAAGTTAGCAAAATAATGCAGCCTACATTTTAGCATCATTTCATTGTTACTTGCCTTTGTCACTGAGGCTGCTTGGAGATGCTCTCATAGCTTGCACATTCCCTGAAAACAAAATTTTACTTCATTCCAGCAGAAATATTGGTATGCATTGAAATACCGAAAAATATCAAAGGAAAAATCATTACCTAGCCACTCAGAATTAAGAACTGGTATCTCTGACTCATTGAACTGCGGAGGTTTATTGTGATCAGCAACTGCTGTAAGCATTTGAATAAATAATGTTCTGGTTGCAGAAACTCACTACAGCTAGAGACATTTTGCTTTTAAGAAAGTGTCAGCAATCAATAGAGCACATTCAGGAAACAAAACAAATGGGCTCTAATACTTCAAGACTTTAAATAGTTCCATTAAAGAAGAACCCCACAGAGATTGGAATGATCAAGTGTCAAAGTAAATTTGTCCCTTGATTTCTATTTATTAAAATTGTAACCTGAACACTTAGTTGAGTTCTCTATATGTGATTTTAACGAAATTTTAACCAAAACTACAATTAAATGATCAAACAACAGATCGAAATTAGGTACGAACCTGGTGCTTTGTTTCTTTGAGGTCTTTCATCATTAAGCTTAGGACTGCTGTCCACAGACGCTGCGGGCGCAGGCACAGGAGCAGGCAAGGGATCGGGCACCGGTACCGGCACACTTCGATTATTTTGTAATGCCAATAACTGGCGTAAGCCATTCCAGGCTCGAGCCATCCTTCTTGTTCACTAATTCACTGAATAAACCAACGACCATCCGTGTTCAGGACCGACACAACGAGCCTTAACGAGCTGTTGGCGTCAGATCTGTAAAACCGCGCTCCAATCAGTTTAGCCACAATGACAACCCTACAAATCTACAAACGTTACTAATTTTTGATTATCACTACAAAATTTATCAACATAGTAATATTTATTCTTTCTATTATTTTTAGGAAAGTTTTCTCTTTGAAATTTGTAGAAGTTTACGATTGAAAGAACAATTTTTGATTTTGCCTAGGTTGCCGTCTTTACGACGTCCCTCACCTGCTTCTCCGATCCGCCCGACCCTGACGCTTTGGAGGTTGGAGGTCATTGACCCGGCTGTCTTTCTCTGTTGTTGTTTGCCAACAGCAGTGGTATCCTCCTTTGTTTGTGTCAGTAATATAAATCCGTGATTAAATCGACGCGATCATGAGTGTATCCAACGAAGAACTGGAGCATTACAAGGCTCGGTATACGTATTACAAGGACAGATGTGCAAAGTTTGAGAAGATATTCGTCAGGTACTAGCTGATAAGGATTGCCTGACCCCAGTATGATAGGTTTTTAAATTGAGATTTAAAACCTCAGTTGATTAATGGTTATTTTTTTCTTCTCAGATTTGGAGAACTTCTCCCTCGTAAAGTGGCTTTTATAAAATCATATTAAAAATTCATTAAAATTTTGTAAAATTTTTACAAAATTTTTATAAACAGCATTTAATAAGACTTTATTGCTTAGTTATAAGCTACTTATAAGCAAGTAGTAAAAAAGTAGTAACTGACTAGTAAAAAAATAGTTACCCAGTTATAAGTTTCTTGATAAACGTCTTATAACTTTGAGAAGTAATAATGCTTCATTAAAGGGTAATAAGTTTCAGTCAATACATGGTCTATGAAACAAAAATGTAGTGCTCATTGAAAGGGGGAATAGGAAGGGGTGCTTGCCCCATTTCTGATAAAAGAAATATAGTGGGTAAGGGAACAAACATATTTATTCATATAAAAGTCTTATTAAGACATTGAGTAAAACCCAATTAAATAGTCTTCACTTATAAAAGAGCTCTCATTTTACAAAGATATATAAGAATATGAATATCAGAAGACTAGGTACTTTTACGAACATAAATTAAAATTACTTGTACCCACGAAAGAGTCAACTGATCACAATAAATCACAATATAAAATAGGAGTGTCTAAAATCTGACGAGTACTTTGTATCATGACTACAAAGCATGCATGCAAGATCTCCCATCACAAAATATTCAAATTAAGGCCTCTGCATTTGCTGGAAGGACTAGTAAGTCAAATTGAAAATAAAACTAAAACTTAACTTGTACTCACAGAAGTTACACTAACCATTACAATTTAAAAGTTGAAAGACTAGTCAGTCTAAAAATTTAAGTACTTATTGAATAAACAAAAGAAACACTTGTACTTATAAAATGATCACATTTGGAGAGGAATAAATATTTAAGTACTTGAAGAATAAACATAAAATAAGGAACACTTGTACTTAGAAAATGATCACAATGAATCACAACACTTGAGCAAGAACCAGCCTTTATCATTTAAGAACTATCAGAACTTGAATCATCTCCCGAGGATTCTGGAGCCTTTTCGTCACCAACTGCTTGGGAGAAATGTTGACTAACATTACTTAATCTAGCTCGAGGTCTCCATGCTTTCTTGTCCTCTTGCACACTCAGAGCGCGTTCTGCAATAAAAAATATAAAACTTACAATTTTGAACCATAATGGGAAAGAAGCCATATTGTTGTAAATTAAACTTACGCATGATAGCTTCTCGCCCATTGGGATCAAGTCTAGGCAAAACTTCTGATTGTCTCAGATAGTGCCTTCCGAGCACTCTGTTCGGATAACCTTGCGCAGTAGAGCCATGCAGCGCTTCCTTTGTGAAAACATTTTGCACAAGGTGCTTCACAAGGAGAGGCAGAGAGCGGGCATCTTTGATGATTTGGTTGAGGGTACTTTCCGGAATATAAACCTCATATTTATCATGAACCTTGACAGCCTGCAAGAGAGTAAAAATAAGTGACAGGGATCTTTTGACATAAAAATAAAAGCTCAGGTTAAAAATTACTCACCCCAGGAGTTTCTGCTGAGTGCAAATACATTTGGCCAGGGAAAAGATTCAAGTTCCTTTTAACACGATAAGATTTACTTGGCTCAACATATTCCCTTTTTGAATTCTTGAACCTCTTATCTTGCTTAACACTCTTCATCCTCCTTTTGCTCTCATCATCACTACTATCACTACTAGATGACTTCTTGTGCTTTCTCTTCTTCTTCCTCTTTTCTTTGATCACTTCCTCACTATCACTAGAGTCCAATCTTCTCGACCTCTTCTTGTACTTCTTTTTCTCATCAGAACTTTCATCCTCACTTGAGTCGTATTTACTTGATTTCTTCTGCTTCTTCCTCCGTGATTTCTTGGCTTTTTTAGACTTCTTCTTTCTATGCTTCCTTTTCTTTCTTCTATCATCACTGCTGCTAGAGCTTGAACTGTCCGATGAGGAGGAGCTACTGGAAGATGTTGATGAACAGCTTCTGCTGCGATGTTTCTTATGAGAAGTTCCAACAGTTTTGTCATCTGGAGCTTCTAATTGAACAGCACTAGAATCAGGAATAGTTTTATCACTACTCTGAGCAGTATTAGCAGAGACTTCATCACCATCAGGATTGATAGGTAGAGTAGGCGTTCTCTCAATCTTCAAGTCTTCAGTCAAACTGTCACCTCCATTCAAAGCAGGTGAAGGCCCATCTTGGTTCATATCAACAGCTCCAATTTGATTCAAAGCACCTCGAGTGTCGTTTCCAAATTGTTCATGGCCTTCTTCATGCAAGTCGTTGCCGGCTTTGACAGAACTTTTGTCAGAGTCTGAGTCTGGCCCTTGAAGGGCTTTCAATGATTTCACATCAGATGTATCCCCAGCTTTCGAAACCTGGGAGAAAAACAAAGAGATAATAAAACAGAATGCGGATATAAACACAATAAGCACCAAATTTAACTATACCTTTAACTTTGGATCAATTGACGAACTTGAATCAGAGGTAATGCTTGAAGAGAGAGTTGACTGATCAGATTCATTTACCTAAAAGAAAATGCAGCATACATTAGAAGATATACAGAAAATAGTGAGTCAAATAAGGTACCAGGAATTACCAATGGTTTGACAGGTGGATCAGAACCAAGCAACATTTCGCTTTCTGCTAGTAGCTGAGCACGCTCTTTCATCGCTTTCTTTGCCTTCTTCGATGCAGGTTTAGAACCTGACGGTTCTTCAAGTTTAACAACAACCTGAATAGGGCACAAGAGTTAAAACGATATCTGGCAATACCTGAAAAAATCTACAGCAAAATGACTCACTTCGCTTACTTTTCCAGATGATTGCAGCTCTTTCATCATAGCACGCTGTTTCAAGGCAGACTTGCGTGGCTTCTCAGCATGAAAGCTTTCCTCTTTCACAGTACGATTCTCCCTCCTCCTTCTCTTCATCTCCTCGAGAGTTTCACTCTCCTTGCCTGCAGAAAAACCAAACGTTCAGGAATTTATATGAGGAAGAGGACTTAAGTTCAAGAATTGAAAATTTCAGATTCATAAGATTGGCCCTCGTAAATCAAATCGTGAACAGGATTGAGACGAACTTTGGTGATCAAAGTTAAGATTTACCATGAAAACATTCTAAATTTGAACATGTGCATAAGAGAGCACGACATCCGAAAGATAGGTTAGCCGTTGGAGTAGGGAGGTTTAGACACAAAAATACACGATTGTGTTACGAAACGCATGGCCCAGTACTAAAACTAGGAAAAGAAAGGTGAGAAACAACAGCAATAGCGAAATAGGCTGCCTAGTCCATGCACTGAAGCCACGAGGAAACCGACGGTTGCACCTCCATCCAGCAAGATTCAAAATTCAACGGCCAAAATTTCATTCGTTCAAAAGATGAACCAAGATAAACACGAAAACTAATGGCTGACTTACTTGAGATGAACAACACTTCTCCGTTTTTAACGTGGCTGCCGTAATGGAACATCACAGCATCACCCACTTTAATGTTAGAAGGATCAGCGGAGCGAATGTCCCTGGTGGGGACGCAGTAAAACCCATCCTCAGCAGAGACACAGTGATATTTTTTCTTCGATTTGGATTTGTCTGACATGGTAACACATTCGATTTCGACAGATGGGTGCGGATGAAATAACCGGTGATACCGCAGCTCACCACTCCTCGCCTCGCGCCCGCGCCTCGCCTCGCCTCTATCGCCTCTCCTCTCCTCTCTCGTCGGTGGTCGGAAACGAACTGACGCTCGACTTCCGCTTCAGCCACACCGCCTACTAGATTCACCGCAGTCCTTTCGGAAGTCAGCAAGGAAGTCAGATGAAATGATTTTTACTCTCCGATAACATTTTTACTGATTAAATTAAATATTTATCGCACTATAGCAGTAAATAAGATCAAAAAAGGTTATCACCAGGGGGCACAACTTGTGTTGGTACTGGTCACTTTTTTTGAATTTTCGACCTGTCTCAAAACAAAAGCAAACCACATCACTCTTTCCATCATGCCGGTTTGGTTAAACGGGCTAAATAATAACAAATAACATCGGCTAAGGCAACAAAGAGTCAACAAATAATATTAACTATATTTGTCATTTCTTACTAAGTTTAGTGAAAATTCACAGCAATTAGTTATGTATTTCTGGAGGTGAGTAATGATGTCTGCGTCATCTTACAGCCTGTTCAACACTTTACTCCTGCATTTTAAGTTTGAATCTTATTACTTTATTTTTCCAGGTTTCAATGGTGAGCGCGATGAAAAGTTTATTATTTATTGTAGCGATAGCTGCAATCCTATTCACTCAGCAAAGTAGATTCATGGTAATTGTTTTATCCATAAAATGGGAAAAATGGAAAAATGTTTCTGTTATGATAATTGCTAATTCTTCCCTTGTTTAACCTAGGTCATGGAGCCACCTGGGAGTCCAGTTTCATCTCCTATTAAGTCACCTGCATCTTCTTTGCGTCCTTCTCCAGTCTCTTCACCAATAAGAAGCGCACCTTCTTCTCCAATCAAGAGTGTAACATCCTCGCCACTAAGGAGTCCTCAACAACGCTCACCTTTTTCGGTAACTCCATTTGGGTTGAGTCAGTCACCTTTTCAAGATTCAGAGTCTGGTGACACTAACTTATTTCAACAACTTCATGCCAAAAGGCAGAAGCTTGACTCCATTGATAATTCCCAGGTATTTCAAGTAACCAGTATGCATTTAAATTTGTGGTAATATCTTCTAAACACCATATTTTTACAATCATTTGTACTTTTTTATAGGCAAAATGTTCTCACTCAGGAGAGGAAGAAAATACCCTTCACTGCCGTCAACTATTTTCAGAAAATGTTGAATGTTCTATGAGCAGTGAGGCTAACGGTGCAATCAATGAACAAGAGGAACAAGAGGGGAGCAATTTGGTTTTCTTTGAGAACAACGGACAAGCGTCACAAGATAATGCTGAGGACAACAGTGAGCAGGTGTTTGGTGGTATGTCTCAAGAAAGGCAAACCAGTTCTAGCACTAGCTGTTACAGTAGCAGCAGTAGTGAGAGCAGTTCGGAAGACTCGTCTAGTGAAAGCAGTGATGAAGGACAAAATAGTGAGGCAAGTGAGGCAAGCAGCAGTAACTGTGAAGATAGCGACAGTTCTCATGAAAGTGATCAGGAACATAATACTAGTGATGAATCTGATAGTGATTTTTTTTCACCTCAGATTCATGAGGGCTGCAAACTTACAGAAGATGAAGGTGTGTTACTCTTAATGGATATGTTCACAAATTGTAAACTGTCCAAAAAGCAGATGGGAGGAATTTTGAAATGTATTTTAAAATTTATACCTGAAGGTAGTAATTTCCCTAAAACTGAATATAGTTTATTTGAATATGTTAAGAAGTTGTGTCCCATACCATCTGAGAAAATTCACTACTATTGTTCTGTGTGCTATTATTATTTAGGAACTGTGGACATGAATTGTACCATTTGCAGCAGCGAAAGTAACAAGTTTTTCCAGATTCCCTTGGCTGAACAAATACAAAATTTATTCGAAAACCATGGGTTGGCCGATCTAATAGACAAGTATCAGGCTGATCGTGCTAATTCTGATGCAAATGGTGGCTACTCAGATCTCCTTGATGGCTCAGAATTTAAAAGAGTGCATGTTGATGGGCAGTATAATTTGGATTTGCTCGGTCATACTGATGGGATATCAGTAAGCCTTAGTTCTTTTGTGTCATTGTGGCCTTTGGAGTGGGTAATTTCTCAATTACCTCCCTATTTACGATTTAAATTTGTTTTGGTTAATGGCATTTGGCTCGATGAGTCCAAACCTTACATGAATACTTTTCTGAAACCTTTTACAAAAGAGCTGCAGGATTTACGTATAAATGGAGTCACATGGACCCACCCAAGGACCAAAGTTGTGCACAAGTCATATATATCTGCTCCCTGTTTCTGTGCTGATGCACCAGCAAGAGCAATGCTCCAAAACATTCTCGCTCATGGAGGTAAACACTGTTGCCAATTCTGTGAGCAGAAAATGAAAAAACTCCCAGCACAGCCAGTAGTACTTGGAGAAAAGAAGAAATCTAGAAGAAGAGTGTTCACCTTCAAGGAAAATTGTGCAAAATTACGCACATCTGAGAGGATGCAAAAACAAGGTTCAGAAGCAAGAAATAGGCAACGAGTAACAGCAAGTCAGCAGGTCAAGGCTATCAAGGGTGTGAGAGGGCCTAGTGAAGTTACACAGTTTCCAGGCTGTGACAGAAGCACAGTGGTATATCCTGAGTACATGCATCTCCTCATGTGTGTCTTAAAAGAATTCATGAGATTATGGTTTGAGGTAGATGGACCTTGGAGTTTGAAGGCACATCGTGATATGATGAATGCATTTTTGAAGAGTATAAGCGTACCTGACTTTATAACAAGAATCCCTCGCTCTACTGAACACTTCACTAAATGGAAGGCAAACGAATTCCGGTCATTTCTACTCTTTTTCTCCTTAATAATTTTATCTCAGTGCATGAAAAAAGAGTACTTTCAGCATTGGACTCTTCTTGTCTCTGCATTTTATCTACTTCTTCAAGATTTTGTTTCTGAAACTGATGTTGCCAAAGCAAATCTATTGTTAAGAATGTTTTGTAGATCTTTTCCTGTTCTTTATAAGCATGAGTTTTACACATACTACATTCACCAGCTATGTCACCTTGGGCTAACCGTTCAGAGGTATGGACCTTTACATACCAATTCAGCCTTTATGTTTGAGAGTTTCAATGGTACTCTTGCTAAATACATTCATGGGACAAAAAATCAAGGTAAGGAGCTGGTCAACAACATAAATATTGCATTTGGAGTAGAGATCTTAAGAACAAGAACTTTTTATGGTACATCAGCAACTCAGAATCACATTGATTTTAAAAACCAAATACAAGGGTTTGATTTTCGCCCAGATCTGGAAATTCTACACTCTTGTGGTATAGTGCAAGAGCCCTTTAAAGCTTTCTACAGAGCCATTAGACGACATGAAAAGTTTACATGTTCATTATATTCACGACAGAAGAAGAGAAACAATTACACGGTGTGCTTTCTCACCGGTCCAAATAATGATAAAAATTATGGAGCCATCAAGTATTTTTGCCAATCTGCCGACAACAAGCAAGTTGCAATAGTTGAACGGTTTGAGGTTGATCACTTGAATACTTTCTGTCATGATGATTCTGGTGTTGTGATTGAACACATTATTCCTGTTTTACCAACTAATGTAACACAAGTCATAGATTTAAGTGCTATACTATTTAAGGTGATAAGAGTTGCAAACTATGTCTGCTTAAGACCTAACAAACATGAGTACAATCTGTGATACCAGTTTCAAAATTAATGTTTGTTTCAAATCTCAAAGTGCACTAATGTGTAAACATTATATATTCCCAAGTCTTTTGAATAAAAGTATGACACTGGTTAAACACGTTATAACTATTATTGTTGTACCTTTTCATTTCCTGAATTGAAAATTGCATCTGTCGCGCGCGGCACCGACCGGGCCCTGAAGCACAGTATCCGGTAGTAGCCTCTCCCTCGCCGAGGTGCCTGCTCTAGCAATCCCGAAGGCGAGCAGGGTCGCGCGGGGCCCGCGGCCACCTCTCGGGCTCTCGCTGCGGGTCCAAGACGCCCAGCTCGTCGTCCTCGCTGGCGGCTGCCGCACCCCGGTCCCGCCGAGTAGCTCTGGCCATCCCGACGGCGAGGGTCGCGCGGGGCCCGCGGCCGCCTCTCGGGC